ACATGCTGAATTTTATCATCCGGATGCATGATAAACAATATATGTGCGTGCGGTAGACCCCTTTTTTGAAACTCCACTACATACAACATTCCGCTCACCCTACCAAAGATCCGTTTGTTTTTTATCTCATCAATCAGCTAGCTGTGCAAGATAACCTTTGAACACTCGCGTGAGAAGATCTGGCCTGTCGTTAGAACATTGACCTGGCAACAGGGCTTGTTTGATATCCGGCTAGTTAGTGTTGCACGTTATAGTGTTGAAAAAATCCGGTTTTTTGAATCGTCTCACAATTGTCATGCTGCCGTGATATCTTTCACTCATATATCGGAGCCCCCCGGTGAACGTTGACGGTAAAACCACTTTTGTCCCAATACCGTCACCACGTTGATTTTGTTGCACAGCGTCTCGTAAATCCTGATAATACTCTGAGCGCAATTCTTTTTGATGGAATCTCACCCATTTTAAACGGAGGGATTCAACTTTAGCGTACGCCATGCAACAAAACTCGTGGAAGAGACGTGCTGCATAAAGGAGGCAAGGCCTTTCACCATTGCGCTCGTGAAGGGGAAATGCATAGTACTCCTTGGCACTAAGTCCCGGCGGCCATCCAGCCTCCGAGGCACGTTGGACAGACCAACTATCAATTCCCTCCGGGAAAAGTAAAAAAAACTTAAGCAGTCGTGCGCTCGAGAACATTCCGTAGCCACAACTGTCTGTCGTCCACCAGGAAGAGGAGCACGCAAACGAATCTCGAGCTCACGAGGAAGGAGTTCATCGGCCATCAGAACACACACCTCATGTAGACCCATAGGACAATTATAACGCCTTGCATGTTCCTCCTCAGGCATGGCGTCCGGATTTATGACCAACTTTCTCCCATTCAAGGCTTCCTGTGGAAGGTCAGCAACCGTCATAAAATCCTTCACGTAATTGTTACATTGTTGTAGCAATTCGTGAAACCTTCTCAATATGTGTTTCGCTCGATCAAGTTCGGCATCAGATGTACGTGCAGGTAAGTTAAGAAAATCTACCCTTTGATCAATCGCATCGTCCAAATGTTGAGGATCGTGCAAGTATAGTTGCGCAAACTGAGGACGTTCCCTTCCCCGACAACTAATACACCGATACGATGAAATATTGGACCTTGAGCCCGAAGTTGACCCTGGAATCCTTGAACACCATCGCTCGGCTGCTTCAACCGTGAGGATGTGAGGGATAAACTATTATTAATTATCCTCGCATTGTTTCGAAGGAATCGGCCGTCGGAACTTTGAGACGTCCGAAGGGAAAAAATTTCATGCTCCGGGGAACCTTCGCAAGGTCATTCCCATAGGACAACGTTTTATACCTTTTCGACAACACATCTTTGTCCATTTTGTTTCATGATGCCACAATTTAGCACCACAATGCTTACACTGATCTCGACCGCCAATGCTGAACGGTTCAACAGTGCTAGCATTCCCAAAAATCCCGCAACGGTGTTCTCAACTGCCTCATACGTTGTTGCCACGGGTGCCGATGGGAGTGCATTAAGATCAGGAGCCGGAACATCATGCGAATCATTCATTTCTTCCTCGAGACTATTTGGTTCACTGTCTTCACGATTGTTCATTGAATTTCGATTTCTCACGGATAAATTCTGCTATTGTCTCGCTCACGATGACTGACTTTGCAAGTGCCTCGCCCGAAAAGATTGACTCTGCGATTGTCTCGCAGGAGAAGATGCACTCCTCAATTGCGCAGAGGCGCTCGCTCGAATCTCTCGAAGAATATTCACAGCGAACAAACTTCGCCTCACACTCTGCATAAAATCTTTATGAGCACGCACATCTTCTTTCCTCCTATGATTCTTAACCGCCGCTCTCAATGCACGCTTCCGTTTAACATGAAAGTTTAATTGTCTTGCCTGTTTTTTCCGTCGTTTTGAAATTATACGCGGTGTAGAACATGTTTCATTCACATTCATTCTATCGACTTGTTCCGTTCCTCCACCAGCCTCTATAGTACTTTCAACAACTATTGCACTTCCATCATAGCCCGATGACACACGGAGAGGCACCGACGACAACGATCCAAGTTCCAAACGACGCATGACGTTATTCGCACGAAGCCGTCGAATCAAAAACATACGGTACCGTCGATTGCGCCTTGAACGAATCGGTTTCCGTAATAATAATATTTTATGTCGATTATGAAATTGAACAGACTTTCTAATCAACGTGTTCGATGAATTTGGTGAGGTTGTTGCAGCAGAACATGCATTTGCATGAACATCCGTCAAGGGAGGACAAACGTTACTCTCCACAAATCTTTGTTGGACATCGACAGTCAATGTCGACGATGAACAATTGTGTACATGTGCCGAGTGCGAAAGAAAATTATCGAGTAAAGTGGATTTTTCGACAATCGAAACGAAATCTGCATTTATTACAGCATTTGTACAAATTTCAGGCGAACGTTCACTTTGCAAGGTCATAGAGAGATTTATAGGACAACTAATGTGATCTGTACCAACATTAATATTTCCTTGACTCGTTCTTTTGAAAAACACAAGGCTTGTGAAATCATTCATTGATGGAATCGATTGGTGAAAAGATAGAGACTTATCATTACATTGTTCCTCAGTAGAACAATCAAGACCATAATCTTGACTTACCACCGGCTGTTTATCTCTCCTGCGAGCAGTCGGATCACCTACAGCACTTACCGCCAATAATAAAAACCTCCAGGTTCGACGACTTTGGGAAGGTGGTCGTCCGCGTTTGCGGTGTTCATGTTGTGATGGCATTGCTGTCTCACTCGTAGAGCGATAGGGAGTAACATCCGAACCTATACGAAGTCCCAATCCTTGGTTGGATGAGGAAGAAGGACCCTCGAACGAAAACAAACTGACTTGACCTGGAACAATGGCAGGACACCGAGTACACTCTGATACTAACGGCGAGGACACTAAAGGATCATTAACAACCCTTTCAAAAGGCCGATGGCGTTTTCGACGCTTCCATGGAACATACAATGACTTATCCACAGGTGAAAAGAAGGTTGGAACGTTGGATAGATTACTGTTGGTTGAACCGTCATGTGGATATCAGTCCTCTGCCATATTAATGGGCACGTACGTACGTATTTGTACATGGGCACGTCACGACAGATAGGAGGAATAAGATGCATATAGACAACCGCAACGAAAAGAGAACACCTCAAAACATTCATATATAGATGTAATTATATGAAGAAGAGTAATATAGTGTCAATAGAAGAAAAAAAAAAAACAGGAAAAACAAAGAAGACGTAGTGCAACACAACCAAAATGCGAAGCATAGAAGATCAAAGAAAATAAGGAGTGAGTTTTTTTTTTGTTTTTTTTTTAGCACGCTATCGAGCTTAATCAATGTTAATAATTCAGATTGGAATTTCTTTGTTCATGCAAATATAGATGTATAGGTCCACTTTAATAATTTGTGCAAACGTTTAATTGGGACCAGAACCTTTTTGGATTCCTATTGAGGTTAATTAATACGCCTCTTATTTTGTTCCTATGCCTCATTCGGTTCTTATGTTCAATTTGTGATCCTATACACCCCTCAGTCTTTCAGGGCCCCATGCGATAGAGTCATACGTACCTCGTCTGTCCACGTTTGCCCTTTGTCATTATGTACCTCGTCTTTCCACGTTTGCCCTTTGTCATTATCTGGTAGGGCTCACATTCCTGTTCGGATAAATTTATCACTGGGATCATAACTTCTTTTGGCTCCAATCCACCTTAATCGAGGCGGCTCCTACTTGAGGCCAGCCTTAGGTATCCTATGTCAGTCATCCGTCCACAAAAGATTTGAAGAAGGTAAAATGTCTTCGCCGACCTTTCCGAGCCCTGATCACTAGGAAGTAGTCTGTAGTACCCATTCTCCTCGCCTGAGCACGAGGCCCAGATCTCAGAGGTAGGCGTTGGCTCCACCGCAACAACATTGCATCACTCCCATAAATGGGTCTATGTGGCATGCCGCACCTCTCCCCAGCCAGCCTCGAAGGTCGTGGTTCCAGGAAGAGTCATTCCTAGCGATCGAGGTCGGGCAAACCGTTAATGGCATCACCTTTCTTCTCCTCTTTTGCTTCGACGACTTTGATGAGATAGGAGCAAAGGGGGTAGAGAACATGAATTTTTGGAACGGGGTTAGGTGAGAGGAGGTCATTCGGGATAGCACGGGAGCCTTGGGAAAAACGCTACGTTTATTCTCAGCTTTATTCCTTCGTATCGGATCGTTTCCTTCTCCAATATTCATTAGAAATACGTAGTTTGACCCAACCCTCCCAATACGACTTAATTTTCTTCACATAAGCGCTTTAGTATTTTCAGTGCCCCACGTAGCACACTCATACGTACCTTGTTTATTCTTAAGCATCGTTTGCCTTCCTTCGAGACCGTCTGCAGGAAGAGGATTCAAACTTATTGTTTCGTTTTCTTTCATGATTGAGATTTTTTGGTCCTAATTATTCATCAACTTTACAACTTTTCTCCGTATATATTTTTTTCTTTCAATCTTCTTATTGATTTTAATCGGTCTTTAATATTATCCCATGTCCATACTTTAAAGGATACTCACCTGGTTCTTTTTTCAGGAATAAGTAGAACAGTATAAGAGCGAACACAGAGAACAAAACAATATTGAAAAAAAAAAATAAAAAAATGTCAGTCTCTAAAGAATAACATAATGTTTATAACAATGAGCACATACAACATGAGATAACATATGAACAAATGACTAAAGCAACCTTTATTTTTATCCATCAACAATATTTTCATGCAAATGCAAAAATAGTTGTCAAAGGGGGAATGTCGAAACAAATAGAAGAGAGAGAGAGAGAGAGAGAGAGAGAGAGAGAGAGAGAGAGAGAGAGAGAGAAAGAGAAAGGGAGAGAGAGAGAGAGAGAGAAAGAGAGAGACAAAGAAAGAGAAACAGAGACAGAGAGCGAGAAAACTCAAATAAAAGTGTCAAAAGATATAGAATTTAAGCATTTTATCATAAACCCATTCAAGTGTCATCATCATCAATGAAATGAACAAATGTGAAAGCACGCATTCCTGCTCGTCATTCCACCCCACGTCCCCGTACTCCTTCCCACTCTAGCTCCTCCCTCTCCTACTATTCTCACTCGAACACCAGCAGTTGCATATGCGACCACAAAGAAAAACCACACTATTCATCTACATTGTCCTGCACATGAAGCTGCCTTCTCCTTTCTTCCATTGGAAACTTCTCGTCATCATCATCAACAACATCTCCATGGTGATAAAGGTTTGTCGTGTTGTCACACGTAGGTGTAACAACCGTCAAATCATTTATCTTTCTATAGTCCCCCTTTGTTAAATAGCTTAGGCGGCCACACTTTGGACATCGACGCCTCAGAGCTTCAACCAATGCAAGCACCACCTCATGCAATCTGGTCTCATGCTTTTTATTTATGCTCGCGAGAGCATTCAATTCTTTTTTTACATGACCCATTTCCTTCATAACCCGCACCGGGGAATGAACAACAATGATATTTGCTAACAAAATTCTGAGGCTATACAACTGTTCCTTGTAACTCGCCATCATGCCATCCGTCAGTCCCTCACCGCACTGATCCGAGAAACTATGTTGAAACACAGCGTCCATTAACTCTTCTTGTGCCTCCTTGTAGAATTGTCCGAGAGTAACAACTGTCGCTCTCAACTGGCTATCGCTTATCGGAAACCTCATTGTATTTTGCACCTCCAAAAGCGCATTTTTTTGTGCAAGCTCCACACCAACTGTTCGCAATGATTGCAACAGACCAATCAAACAACTTTTCGAAAGCTCTTCTAAAGTTCGACCTAATGGAAGCTCAAACACCTTTGATGCAAAAGAAGGATCAATCGATGGCAAGGCACCCGCCGACAACAATTTTCTCAATCCACTCTCGACTGTTTCACAGCGTAGACGCAAATACTCACACTTTTGGGACACATGCGGATCGACTTTAGTACTAAGCTCAACAACTTGGTCAAGCAAGTCATTTCTAATGGAGGATTGGATTAAAGTTGTGAGTTGGCTGACAATGTCCTCGCCAACATTCTCCTCCTTCTTCGCGTCCATACTACCAGACAAAGACCAATCTCTCACCTCTTCACTTCGTTTCCTTTCCAGGAAACTTTCAAGCATTGATCGTGCATTCGCCTCAATTTTTGCGAATGCACTCCTCAGGGCAGTCACTTTCGCCTCCTTCTTCTTCAACATCCCAAGCAACTCGTCCTGAGTCCACCGAAGACCTTCATTGTCAGTCATATACTGGCCGCATTCTCCTTTCAATGCGGAATCGTTCGGAACCTTACCTGCAATACCGTAAGGCACTTTAGACTCACGCTAAAGCAGACGCTGCTCCATGTCATGAATTTGCGAAGCCATGCCATACTCATATCGTTCACTACATTCCTCAAGGTATTTCCTCTCCGTGCGAGCATCGGCGAGCCAATTTCCGAATACACCGTCCTCGTCACTACGTGCCTGAATTTGCATCAGCACATTGGACCATGATATTCCTTCAACCGGCCTATCTACCTGGCTGTCGACCACCACATTCATTTGAGTAGATGCTTGTCCATCTGCGGAGACCACCATGAAAAAGCAATCAACCAATTAATCGATC